ACTCTGAAAATATGAACCAAAATAAGCTTTTCTTTTAAATTATGAGGTTTGGAAGTTTTGTCCAGCAACAGAAAAGTGAACAGTTCAGAAAATTTCCAATAGAGAAGTGGGGTCATTACTGTAGCTACACATGACCATGGGGGCTCAGAAGCCTTTGTAACTATTTCTCAGGAGGAATGTGTGATTTGGTGATGTGGGCTTCAGACTCCTAGAAAGCTATAAACAGAGACTGATAGATGATTATCACAGTAGCTCAGAAGCTCTGAATGTTAAACAGAATTTAGAATAAAAATTGTACTCAAGAAGCTTTAGACTTCTGATGGAAAAAGAGAATTCTTTTGACAATTGGACAAGAGACCAAAATGCTATATTCTTACAAATCATTTTTCTACAGTTTATCCACACGCTAAAATTCTGTAAGGCGGAGTTCAAGGATGATGCATTAATTGGTCTAGTGGAGCAAAAATACTATAAGACCAGCATCCCTGCCTGCTACGAGATCCTGAGAGGCTGCTGAGTCCCTGGGAGTGGAGTGAAGCTGCAGTGGATACCACAGAAACTTGGAGATGCCAGGAAAATGGAACATGGTCCAAAAAGTTATAAGCAAGGAGCAGAACCAGCAGAAGAATGAGGTCATGGTGTATTTGAAGATCAAATGTATTTGAAAGATATAAGGTTATTGAGAAATTAATCATAGTTTAAAGATGGGTAATTAAGTGTCAAATTGATAAAGTGATAGTCTTCAATCAGTTGAGCTTCACTGTAGTCTTGACTGGACTGAGAGACTCCTAGAGAGGTATCAGATTGTGAGGGCAGTAACTTCATTAAAACTGAGTTTGTATTTGAATGGGCTTTTAGGACATGGGGTATAGTTTAAGGAAATGGGTCAAGAGAGCATAATCTTGCGGACTATATTAGTCACTGAAAGTTTCTTCTTTGGCTCTTTGTAATCTGCTCTGCTTTCCAGCTGCCATGAGTGTAGCAGCTTTCCTCTGTGATGCTTTTCCCCCAGGGGGACTGAGATCTCTGAAAGTATGGGCCAAAATGAAGCTCTGTGCATTTAGATTGTAAATGTAAGAAATTTTTGCCCCCGAACAGAAAAGCGACAAATGTGATTCTCAAACAATCATAAAATTCAGATATCTATCTACCTAATATATTGTATGCTCTAAATACATTAAACACTAACAATCAGTAAACTGAACATTTTCAGTAAGAATATATATATGTGTATATATACATATATATATATTCATCTATATCATATATAATGTATATTTATTTTTATTCTTAACAACCTAGACCATGCAAGTGTCATAAAGACATCTACAAAAATATATTTAATATTTGGAAGCCTCTTGATAAGAGTTTTAGTTTTCAAGTTATAAAACTTTTTTCATACTTGAATTAACAAAACAATTATATAATGCAGAAACGAATGCAGAATCATTATATGTATTTTAATATGAGTAAATGGCAAGTGAGAAATAAGTGACATGCCCAAATTCACATAAAAGCTAAATAATATTCTTAGACTAGGTCCTCTAATTCAATTTCAGTATTTAGTTGTTCAAATCTGGAGTGTTCCCTGAAAGTCCACATGTTAAAGGTGATTCCTGAGACTGGGAGGCTGTAGAAACAAGAGTTGGGGCTTGGTGAGTGCTGTGCAGTCATTATGAACACATGCTCTGAGGAATTATGACTCAGGCTGTCTCTCTGTGCTCACGATGCGAGCAGGGTTACTTCACCACAAACTTCATGCAGTCTTGTGCTGCCCCTTCCTCATCAGAGGACTGAAACTATTAAGTCTTTCTCATCTAGACTGGAATCTCTAAAACTGTAGGCAAAATTAAACTGTTTCTTTTCACGAACTGACAATCATACCTTAATTGACTAATACATTTATTTCACTGCCCCTCATCTCTGAACTATGGTGGAGAGATTTATGCATTCTAGTTAATACCTCCATGAGATACTCTTAGAAACTGGTTCACATTTATTTACTATTCTTACCATATTGAGTTTTTGTTAAAAACATGTTTTTCTTACTTTCATGCTATTCTGTTACTTAAAATGAAACATATTTAAGGAGACGTGGAAGCCAATCTGAGAAAAAAAACTGTCAATTTGCCTATTTATTAGTGATATATTTTTGAAAACAATAAAATATACATCTTAAATAAAAGTTATCAAATAAATGTTTCCTAGATGTGAATGTATGGGCTAGTAACTAAAGCAATGATTTCCTTTATTTTTTAGCCTTGACTAGTAACAGTTCTTAAAGCAAATCCCACAATTACTATTATACTTCATATTGTATTGAGACAATATACTAGGTGTTATAATATCTATTAAGTACATTTAATAATATGTTACCATGGTGATATAAAATTTCATATTTTTAAACCACTTAGAAATTTTGAATTATTCACATTTTACTTTAAAATAATAGAATTTAAATTATGCAAACATCAGAAGTACTATTGAGTACTTTGAATATAAGCATTTTACTATTTAGCCACAAAGAAAGATAAATTTGAGTTTTTAGGAAAACGATTGCATTCTGAGAACAAAATGTTAAATGACATTAAACAAGTGCACAAGTTGAATACCACATGGCTTTTCTTATATGAGTTAGGAAAAATGTATAAAGCAAAATAAATGATAGGTAATAAGAATTAGGAGGATAGATCTTTCTCAGTGGAGAAGGGGATCGCCAGGTGGAAGGGAAGGAGTACTGTAAAAGGAATTAAAGTGTGTTATGTACTTGTAATAATTCTCCACAAGACATATAAATAGTATATATACTATATGCGTATACAAAGTAGGATAAAAATAAATATAATTTTGTAATGTCATTAGTAGTATTACTTAAAATGTAGTTAACTGAATATAACTAAATTTCATGGGCAATGTTGCATTTGTAAATCAATTTTTAAATTTTCAATTTAGACAAAAAGTGCATTTAGCTACCAGGACTCATTTAATTTTACATAAATATTAATCTCTTTGAGACTGTGGCAAATCTGATTGGTTTTCAATGTGAAATTAAAATGCAAAAATAAACTTCTCTTGGGCTTACTTATGAATAGAATTTTTCACTAATCATTATTTAACAGAGAGCTGTATAATGATCAGTATTTGACATTTTCATGTGGTAGATTTCAAAGCTTGAAACCACAAAAAGTAGGTCCACCCCAAAATACTGTTTATCTTAGAGTCTTGCAAACTTTGTCCCTGTGAAAAGAGCAAACTTAGCAGCAACCCTTTGAATTCTATTCCTCTGTTGTAATCTGCAAGTGACAGAGCCACAGCCACTGCTAGTGAGTAGCCTAGCAGCAAATGGGAAAATAAACAGGTTAAAATAAATTAAGAAAATTTATTTATCTTTAAAACATGTTTTGATGTAATTACTGTTAACTTTATCACTGAGTAGTAAGTACTTATATTTTGCAATGTTGTTGAAAAGTAAGCACAAAATATTCATTGTAAAAATGTTACTATAGCGTGAGGGCAACTACTGGCAAGGCCGAGGGCTATGGGGAAGGGGGCCCCCCTCACCAAGCCGGCCTTGGCTCCCTACTCACTCAGAACCACGAGAAGGGCACCCCTTGACTCTGGAGGTGCAGGCACATTTTTAACCAGCAAGAAAAAGTCACCCCGGACTGGCATTTCTGGAGCAGAGCGGGGTTTGGGGCTCCCGTGAGGAGCCAGGACCCCTCAGCGCTGCCCTGTCATCACCTTGACCATTTCCAGGTTGCTGTTGGAAGAATCGGTCCCGCAGCCCCGCGTGCCCAGGTGGTGCCAGGCGTGCACTAGCCTGAGCCCCAGAGTTTGGGGTCATTGCTCCCACTGCCTGTCAAGGAGCTGCCCGGCCTCCTGCACACTCTACAGCTCCTCAGGTCTCGGCCTGCCTGCCCCAACCCTAGTGACCCTCTCTCAATCCCAGGAACTGGGCTGTCAGAGGCCCAGGATTTTATGATTCAATAAAATCACCAATAAGCTGGTGATACATTAAATGTTCATTTTTCTAGTATTACAAATAAGTTTATGTAATAAGAAATAATTTATAACATTATCTGATCACAAATAATAGAAATATTCCTTTAAAACTCAGTAAGCATTTCTATGTGCATCTGAAAAGAATATGTACACAGCAGATTTATTTGCAATTTTGTGAGGTCTTCCTCTGATCTTTATAGTATTTATTCTTGAATCTTTACTACTCACATGTAGTGATTTAAGAGTACATTTTCCTTTTAAATACACTAATGTTTTTCATCATGTAAATAGTATTTGAGTAAAAATTGTGGCTTTAAAAATAGCTTTCATACTTTAAAGAATTTCAAAATTTTCAATAATCAAGGCAAACCTAACTAAATTACTTTGTATTTTATTTCATTTGCGAAAATCAGACAAGAAGCATATAAAACAGAATTATGATACAAAATTTTTTATATCAATTTAAAATTTACCCATTCCAAAATAACCCAAAATGGACTGCTCATTATAAGTATAGTTCAATTGATTTTCAAAATATTTATTCAAGTTTTTCAAAGGTAAACTGTCATAGTTTTAAAAATTGGTCCATTTTATAATCACAGTATTGGAATGATTTTGATACCTTTCTAGGCAATGTAAAATTATTAAAACTCATGTATGTAATTGGATTCATAAATTGTGATTGATAACTTAAAGATATGAAGAGGCCTCTTCATCCTGTGTTATCTATAATTTGGTATATTCGTAGAACAAATTTCAGGTCATAGATTTTAAAACAAGAAGTTTTTACCGCTCAGAAAATAGTATATTTACTTTTGGCTCCCTAATGCTGCTTATAAAACTAGATATAATTAATTTTGTACTCTGCCACATGTAGGTTTCAAGATAGCCATGAACACTGGAGAAGGCAACAGGGTATCTATAAAACATGTAACAGTACAGATTTGGAGGAACACTTGACACAAGTTGTTGGAGGGGGGAGATATCTGTCCACTTACCTCATCTTAGTTCCAAAGTAGAGGAGGAAAGATAAGTCCTTCTATTTTAGAAACACCATATTCTAACCATCTCCAGGAATGAAATGTGTGCCAATAGCCTGGAATATGATCAAAGTAATTTAAAAGATACTTTTGCAAAGTCAGCACTGAGAGAACTTTTATGATAACCAAGCAAGACAAATATCACCTGAAAATTCACGGCTATTGTTTTATTTAAGTGACCTTAGTCTTAGCCAGCTTTGGTGCTACAGTCCTCTAATTTCGGCTTTAGAGAGGGTAAAGAGTCAGGAGGATCACCATCCCAGGCCACTTAGTAAGAGCTTTTCTAAAAATTAAATTGGAAATTTGGCTGGGGATATAGTTCAGTGATTCTTGAGATCAATGTCCAATACCTCAAAATAAACAAAACAAAACATACAATATTTTAAATCCTTGAGGTTTAGGAAAAATAACTCTCCTGAAGTCTGAGGAGATATTGGACGAACCTATGAGAGAAGTGGTCAAGAATCAAAAAGAGAACAAGGCCCCACAGGTGACATATCAGAGCTCATGTTCACAAACCTCATCAAGCAGCCATAAAAGTCTACCTGGAGACCTGAGAAAGCACTACTCAGGTTATTAACCAGAAGAAAGCAAGAAAAGGAAAGGTACTAAACTGTGATGACATTATCACGGATGCTTTTCCTCCTTAGGAAAGCCTTAAACTAAAAGCAAAGCAAAAATATTTTAAGGAAATAAAATATTGTACAAATATCTCCCATTGATATAGACAGAAATAAACAAATACTGCTTTACAAAATTTAGGATTTATAAGAGAGTATCATCATGATGTGAGTGAAGCAAGGCTAGTCCAACAATGAGAAATAAATTATTTACCAATTAAAAGACTAAAGATGGTTAATGGCAAATTTGTCATACATGTGGGACAAAGAGGAAAAGATTAAAAAGAATTATAAGTAGGAATTATTTTTTCAAACACCTATTACAATGGTGTTTTAATATTCATATTCAAAATCAGAGTTAAAGACCTAGTGAGGCCAATAAGTAAATGAAAAAAAAATAGGGTAAACATGTCAAACTCCAACCTGTATATGTGAATGTGTGTTAGTTATAGTATCAATTGTGTCTCAATAAAATGATCAAATAATTAAGGGAATAATCAGCAAAAAATAAATGAACTAGAATTAAAAAGCAGAAAATTGATTATGTAAAACTACTTGACAGTTGTACATGGTACTATTTTAATGTAAAATATATCAATAAATAGAAAATGAGAAAATATGTCACTCTTTGCAAATGAGATGATTAGCCAAATAAAATATCAATAAAAATCCAAAACATGTTTACAATCCAGTGATAAGCTGTAAGAAACAAAATCAGTATATAAATTATATATGTGAAATATCCATTATCACAGGAAAACCAGTGGAATTCTTACACATAAATCTAAGAAAATGTCTGTGAGAGACTTATGTTGAAAATAATAAAACTTCCTCTTCCGTAGTCCTCCTGGTGTTTGTTATCCCTGTGTTCTCTGGGCTTCCTCTTGTGACATTCCAGCTTACTAAACATTTTTCACACTTACAGATAAGAAAATTAAACAGGTTTTCATTGTACTTTCATCCAAGCAGTCCCTGCTGTCCTTCTTATTCTTTAATGATTATGCTGTCGGACTGTGAATCAGCTGTGTATTGAAGTTATAAATGTGACATAAGGTGCTTTTATGAAAGCCATTTTGCATATCTACATCTTCTTCCCTGCATTTTGTTCTGGCTTCTACTCAAAAACCTAATGGGCTGGGAAGGCAATAAGGACCCAAGAAAGATTTGAAAGTTTTATTAAATGACTACTTTTTAAGTCATGCAAGGAAACAATAACTATCACAAAAGTCTTCAAAATCTGAGGTATGAAAAAGAGTGGGGTTATTGGCCACCAAAAAAAAAAAAAGTGCAAAACAAGACAAGAAAATCTTGCACAGAAAGAGCCTGAGAACGTTCCACAAATCTCCTGCTGCTCCAGGGGAGCAGGAGAAATCAAGAGCGAGGCTTGGCTATGAAATCCTTAGGAAATCTGAGGATGAAATGAGAAGCAATACACACATAAGGCTGAAGACTGGAGCCCATGGTAGGGCCACACATGAAGCGAAATCATGCTCAAAGGACCAAAACAGAAACAGCAAATGGCATCTTTCAACTGACAACCTACACTCAAAGATGGTTGTTACCCTGCATTCATTAGATGACCTCACTATGTCAGACTCTGCAATGAGTCATTGAAAAGGCTTAATTCATGTTTTATGAAACAAAAGCTGGTCAAAACAGTAGAAGACAGGATTTTCTTGGTGTGATGATTAGTTTTTTCCTCCAAATGTGATGGGGATTTCCTTATGATTTAAGCTTAAATATCATAATTGATCATGTATTTTTTCTGTATATTACTTTTTAGGCTTGTGAAAAGTAGTAAGTGTTTTCACAGTTGTACCTTTTTCAAATAACCACAAGTAAGAAATTCCAAATATTTTAAAAGACTTACCAAAGTAGAGGGTCTTTGAGTTTGATCTCCATACTGAAAAAAAGAAAAAGTAGAGGGTCGTATAAGAGAATGTATAACACTGTGATAGAAAAATACCCATTGAAATTTAAGAGGGAAATATAGAAAATCAGAGTGCCTTTGGGGACTAAATTGTATATTAGTGAATCAAGGGAATTTCTATGAATCAAGTAATTAAACAAAGGCTTTAAATTGAGTAACTCAACAATTCAGTCACTCTACGTGGAATCAGAACTTACATTTTTTTTTTAAAGATGTGTTTGCAATTTCTTTGGGAATCTGAAAGCTGGTCTTTTCAGGCTGGTTAAAAAAAATCAAAGCTGAAAGATGTGTATCTATTTAATTATTTCAAGAGGAACTGTTTCCGGGGCTTAGGAGGGTATTCCTGATCCACCTTTTTGCCTAGTAATGTTGGAGGGGTCTTCTTGGGAAGCTCCAGGACATTCTCCATGAGTCCAGCCCCAACGCACTGCAACGCCTGTGCCATTGGTACGTTACAGCGGATCCTACACAGCAGCTGCCCTGGTGGGGAGTCAGGGAAAGCTGAGAGGTCGGGTCCACGTGGAGGTTCCCGACTGGTAGGATGCTTCTACTTCCGGAAACATTCTGTTACTGTAGATTTTCCTCAGGGTAGGAATGGCAACAATGTTTTCCCCTCAAGCTGTGGAGAGACTCTGAGATACTGTTACTAAATGTTAGTAACAAGATATTGTTACTAACACTGTGGTAGTGTATTGTTATCTTCTCTACACTGAGGACACTCTGGTGCAGTTCACTAGACCAAAACAAAGCCAAACTGAAAAAACAACAAAAGAAAATTCTTGTCATCCAGGAAAACACTGAATGTCCAGTTCTGCCAGTGATTAAAATGGTAAGCCTTTTAATTGGTCCCAAGTATAAACATGCTCATTTGGCCAAATTCCCAATCAACATTAATAACGCTAAAGTCATTTGCTCATCTACATTTTTAATGGACTTACTCATCTTGGTATTATTTTATTCTTGTCTACATTTTACACCGTAATTTTCTCCATATGTAAAGTCAAAAGAAAAGTATTCCAGGTTTTGGCTTTTAAAACACCAACAAGCACTCTATTGTATCCACTTACAAACAAACATCTCTCTGTGCATGTAGTGTAGCTGTTCCTTAGTTCAAATGGAGATTTACATCTTAGCCTGATGCTGGTGTAACAAGTGGACTTTAGGATTTGACACAGGTAGTTAACTTTAGTTCAGGGAACACCAAGATGACAAACTCAAATTTTATTAATTTTGGCAGGCCTCATAACAAATATTATCAGTTTGGCCTGGAATCAGATAATCTTAGCAGGCCCAGTAGGGAAGCAAACAGATTACACAGAGAAAAAATGAAGACCAGGTGGGAAGGAGGCAGCAGCTGATACAGCTGTGCATTTAAGACCCTCTCTACTGAATTACCTTGGCCTTTATTCTGTTTTGCCTCGTTAGGCTAAACAGCATGATTTTTCCCACCAGCACAGCTGCACCTGAGGAGCCTGCGCAGGAGCATCCTGACTATCTGCCTGCACTCTCGGGCTTACCTGAGGCTCTCTGTTCATGACTACCAGAAACTGAAAATCTTCATTTCTAATTTCATGATAAAACCCGAAAAAGGTATCTGTTAACTTCATCTTCTTTAAGTGGAACTCAGGTCCTTGTTCTTTGACACAAAGTATATTAGATAATTACAAAGGAAAAAATACAGGTTTTCCAGGTAAAGAATCAAGATGATTGTGACACATCCGAGAGCATTTTTCTTTCTGCATGTCTCTTCTACTTCATTTCATTTTTACTGCTTCCTTCATATTGTGCAACTTTCTTTTTGTGTGCACAGGATCCTTTGCTGTTGCCCGACAGCACGCAGTGATGTTGCATTTGGCTTGATATCCATCTTTTTCTATCACTGCAGTCTTGTCTTCTGTTTTCTGCTGTTTCCTAGCTGACCTCTCAGCCTGTCCTGTGGGTTACAGATTCTCAGTGAACAGCTCACACAAGTATAGATGTTCCCTACAAACAAGAGAATAGTAAGAACAGCAAAAGAATATAATGCAGTAATTTGAAAATATATTTTAGTAGCTAAACACACCACTAATATCATCAAGTATTGTTAGTTCTGTCCAGTCAAATGGCTACAATCATTTCCCTCCTAAGTCACATTTCAAATTAAACCTTGTATGTTTCCGTGTCTCTGCACTATGTTGTCTTTATGTTTGCCTCTATTTTTCTCTACTTGCTTTAATTATTTGTTATAAAAATACAGAAAAAGTACATTAATTCTTCGTAGTGTTGTAGTTTAATAGGTAGTAAAGAATATGTTCTGGTGTCATTGGTTATCCCCAGAGTACTTCACAATTAGTCTGAAATTTTAGCTAAATTTCATAAAATTCAGACAATTTCAAACTATTTGACAGACGCTTTGCTGTGCTCACAAAGGACACTGTCTTTGTTTATAGCTTAAATATTTATTTGGTGAAAAAGTGACCTATCTCACAGTTATTTATCCTTCAGAAAAGAGAATCCTTTTATCTGCCCTTAGCATGACTGAGCCCATTCAATTACAACTTGGTTTCCATCTATGAGTATTACAACTTACCTCTTTTCTAAATAGGATATATATGTAACTTTCCTTCTTGAATGCCATTTTTATGCCTTGACTTCCTTGAATTCTGTATAATTAAATATATTTTTCCATAATTTTATTTTTTACACCCTTATTGCCTGTACTATAAAAAAGTACATGATACTTACACTCACAAAAAATATGTGTAGCAATTTTGATTATTGATTCAACCTGGTATTCCTAGATTGAGACAAAGAGAGAGAACGTAAGGACAAACATTAAAGAATGAATTTTTAAAAACTATTTGCTTTTTCCCTCCTCAGATTTCAGGATGTATTTAGAGGAGGGAATGAAGATTTCATCTACCAGACATCATCCACACATCTCCCAGAAGGCAATAAGTGGAAAAAAAGGGCACACGAATGCTTTGTCTGTGACTTCCATTCTACCATGTGATTAAAATGTCACCACCAACTGAAAAAAGAATGAGGAGAAGCCAGTAGGAGCCAATACTTACAATAATTTGAACCAGGTATGTCAATCCAGCAAAATTCACTAACAGCAAATATTCCGTGGGTCTCTCTTGCTCCCCAAAACCTTGCAGTGCGTCGACTAGAGAAATTTAGCAGCTTATATGGATAACTCAGCACTTCTACATCCTACAGTGTAGAGGACATGCCCTTAGGGCTCTAGGATATTGTCTGTGTCAATTTGAAAAGTTTAGAAGTTTAAGGGACTCAGCAGGGGGTCAGGGTCCTCACTTGGGAAAAGTTCTGAGACTGTGCAAGAGAGGGGCAGAGGGTGTGAGTGTTAGACCAGCAGAAGGTGGAGAGCTTGCGTACAATATAAGAGAGGAAAAGAGGTTTGTTCTCCCCTTTTTGCTGTTGTTGCTTTGTTGTCTTCTGCAGCCTTGAACTGTTGCCCCTCAGTCAGGCCACCTCCCTTGGAACCAGCTGACTATGGACTGAAACAAACTGTCTGCCATATCAGGTGGTCAGAAAAGGAAGAAGAGCGGCACACTTTTAACCAACTACCAAAGTCTAGGTATCTGTGAAGTGCACTTATTTCATCTCTAAAGTCTATGTCTGATGTGCTTGTGAGATGGCAGGTGTTATGTGCCTGAAAATGATCTGAAAAATAGTTATCCTCCTTGGTCTTTCTGCTTGGGTTTCTTGTTATCTACATACAATATTTGTGTAGGGAAGCATTTGCTTACCAAAATTATTATCCATTTTATAAGTTTCAGAATAAATGTAAGAATATTTAGTTAAAGTATTAATATTTATGCAATTTTAAAATTATTATGCACAAAAATGTACATCAATGAAAACATTACCGTAGGTTAAAGTGCAATAAAACTATGACATCATTTTTGACAATAATAGATTTTTAAGGTGATAATGAGGATTAAATCAAAAGCTATTTTCATGCAAGGTACGTGTTTTACCACTAAACAACATCCCAAAGTCAGAAAAAATAATGTTTTAAAAATACTTGTATCTATTAACGTATAAAGCTATAATGAAGTACAATGCAAGTATTTATGATGGAATAGAATGTATGATTATTTGAATAGGAAGGTCAGCTAAAAGTACTTCATGTGAAGTATTATGTTTATACTATGTGCTTCATTTTAAACATTTACATTTTTCTTTAGTGAGGACTTAGACTTCACCAGAGAGTATCATTATAATACCATCAAATATGGGTTTCTACTCCTGAAAGTTAAACAAAAACATTTAATGAAAAAGTAAAGTGTTCAGTAAAATATCAAACCAACAGAAAAAAATTTAAGTTATACTTTGGTGTGCCTGTCTTATCTATCTTCCTTTCAGAGCATTTTGCTACTCTCAAAATTATAAAATTTTATCAACAATATCAATTAATTCTCACACACCAAAATTTATTTAATTTTTTCATTTGTCATATGCATAAGAAAATTGATATCTGAAGCAAAAAGACAGTTATATTAAACATCAATCTATATTTAAAGAAATGCATATGTGATTTGTTAGAGTCACAGGAAACAAAAATCTCATTATATGTACAATATTACGTACTCAGGAAAGAAGTCAGCAGTTCAGATCAAAATTTATGTATGTTTACCTTTACTGCAGCATTGTAGATTAAAAAAATCAGTGTAACTACTTACATGTGTTTTTACTTTTCTACCAACATTTCACATCTTCCATAAAAAGTATGACACAATGTATTACATATTCATTATGAATAAGTTGTGATTTGTATTTATCAAGAAATTTGGTTGGTTTAAAATTATAATACAGCAGTGCTACAAAAATTAATAGGGAAACAAAGTTTTTGATTTATGTGTCTACCTTTATGACAAAAATGTGAAAATTTGACATGAGGGAAAATTGGAAGCTTCGTACACAGCTGCTGATACCATGAGGTGTTGTAGCTGCTATTGCCATTAGTCTGCAGGACCCAAAGTCTCAAACCGAGAGACACCAGCAATTCCACATCTAATTAAGTAGACAGAAATGCCAACAAAACTTGGAGGCAATAATTCATTTCCATGTCAGGTTTTATTGCTCCGTGGTGATGTTTAATTCATTTTCTTATTGTAAATTCCACTGAGGTTTTTCAATAAGAGTGAAATAGGCCATGAAAGTCTTCTGCTATCACTGTGGAGCTGTTTATTTTCCTTTTAATGCAAAATCTTCAAGCAACACAACTGTTCACCAATTGTTGAATTAATTTTTAATATATTATATAGGAATATGATGCAATATTGTCATCACTAAAAAAGAATGAAGTTCTAATAGGTTCTATCACATGAATGTACCTTGTAAACATCATGTTAAGTGTAACAAATCAATTATGATAGGGGATCTTTTGTATGTTTCCATTACATGAAATATACAACAGACAGACTTAACCAGACAAAAAAGTATGCTATTATTTTTCCAGGGTTGTATGTTGGAGCTTGTTGAAGGAATTCCATGAGGAAAAAGATGTCCCTGTTAGTGTGCATTTATCTTTTCTTACTGGTAGGTTATATATGTAATAAAGTTAGATTTTGATAGTGATTGAAGAATCATGGGAACTTACTAAAATTATTCAATTTTCCTTTTAAAATAGATTGTATATCGATGAAACATCTAAAAACTAAAAATATTTAATTTCAAAATCATTATAGTATTTTATAATTCTGATTACTTTTATTTATTTATTTAATTTTGGTACTTGGAATCAAACTCATGACCTCGAGCTTGCCAGGCAAGGGTGGTGCCACTGAGCTGTATCCCCATCTAATTAATTCTAAATGATATATAAAGCTCAACAGTGGATAAAATCTCTTTTAAACATGTGGAAGCCATTAACATAAAATACATTGAGTATAATTACCATGAAACTGATAAATATTAAAAATTCTGCCTCATTCTGCACAATCCAACATTTAATGCCTGAGAGTTCTACATACTGAATTTTACTGAAGTTATAACAACTATAATTACTTCATAATAAAAATTCATCTAACAGTTATGTCTGAAGATATTTTTCTATACAATAATATAAAGCTAAATCTGTTTATTAAAAAGTCACTGTTTCTTGAAAACATCACAGTTACCCTTACCTAACATTATCCACAGATGTAGTAAGGCTCTGTATTGTTTTGATTATCAAGCTACTATTAACTTATGCATAACTAGCGATACCCATATGGAAAAAATGCAGTTTGAGAAATCCTGCTGTGATAATTGAGACGTGTTCTGTATTGATCCAGGAAGTACTTGGCTTATAATTTAATATTTTCCAGTTTGATATAACAAAATAAGCATTCACTAAACTGTTCACCTACACAGGGAACCATGATCTTTCAATTACACTGAAGTTTATTGAGGCCATCAATAGTAGTGATTTGTAAGGTCAAGAGGCTCAAACTTCTAACTCTGTGTTGGAGATCTGGTCACAGATTTTGTGGATGAAAATATAAAGGAAAGTAAAGATGTAAAAATTATAATTTATATTTTATGATTTGAAATTGTCTGGAATTTAAATCAACTATTTTTCATAGTATCGTCTTAATGTTTATTAGCTGTAAAAACTGTTTTTCATTCTAGTGAAGTTTCAAAATAACAGGACAGTATACTTTTTTGATTTCTAACATAGGAGAATCCATGTATTTCATTCATTTTCATGCAAAGTACTACTTTTATAACTGATATTGTTTATTTTTAATGCACAGCAATATGATATTTGGTAGTATTTTTACTTAATTAGCAAAATATCATTGTTAATTTTACTACTTCATTATCAAAAGACTATGATATTAATATTATAAGTAAACACATATACTATCAAACATAAATCAGGAAAAGTTAGTAATAAATGATCCTTAAAGAATCAAATGAATATTGTATTAGTTACTTTTCTTATTGCTGAAACAAAATGCCTGACACCCAAAGTTCAAAGAAGAAAGGTCTATTTGGCTCATGGTTTGTAGAGGCTTCAGTTCATAGTTGGCTGGTTCCAAGGCAGGGTAGCATGGCAGAGGGGCAACTCACAGGAGGAAAAGGTCATGGTGGGCAAAAGACATCAAACAGTGAAGTAAATGAGAAGCAGCTCACAACAACTACCCTCTTTCTATCTGCTGTATCTTATTCAGGCTACCCACCCTTAGCATTCACACCCAAGGTGAGGCATCCTTCATCCTAGCATGGCTCCATGAATCAATCCCAACATCACATCCTTGATCCCAGCAGCACACGTCTTAGATTCATCTGTGTCCCAAAAGCTTAACCTATGACTGCATGAGGATGTGACGTGATGTCTAGGTATGAGCCACAACAAATGTCTGGGAAATTAACACATCAAACAGAAAATAAGCAATAGAATTATAAATGAATTTTAGACTTCTTGACTTCTTGTCTTTTAAGTTATAACATTTATTAAGTATATATTTAATAGGCCTCACCACAAACCATATGTACTATCCACCACATGCTTCAATGATTAAATGGTGCTTCAAGTTCAAATACGAAGTTGTTTGTATTATGTTATCAATAATATTAAAAGAGATAAAATACTTTTATTTTTTGTTAAAAATGAGATGCAGACAGACATGAAATGCATAGTATAAAGTTTTCCTTTGGCTGTTACATGAAAAATTTAAGAATTTTCTAAATTATTTCTTTTTTTTTCTAAGTTATTTCTTTTTTTTTTTTATTTAAGGAGAAAAGAAAAAAAAGCACAGAAAGGGTACAGGTTATACAGAT